ACCTTTTCAGGGATCAGTAACCTCTTGTTATGATGCAAAATGCTATAAAACAAACACAAAGGCAAAAAGGTTAGTAAAATAATATAAAAAAATACATAAAAACAACAAGGTTAAAAAATGTCATAGGTTTCGGAATGTGGTTTCGGGGTAGGCATAGTCTCCCGGGTTAGGTTCTAAAAAACGGTATCCGAGTTCTCCTTGCCGGTGCCCCATTGGGCTTGCCAGACCCTTAGTCCTAAACCCATCACAGGCTTATGTGGACTAAGTTAAACTCGGGAGGATACATTCCCTTATGCCCATACGGAGAATAAATTCACACGAAGGCATAAGGTATATGAATCCCGAAGGTTACTTGCTAGGCCCATACGGAGAATAAATTCACACGAAGGCGTCGCTTTCACCCCCACTTAAATAGGGTTTGGAGCTCGGGTATAGAGCATTTAGATGAAAAAGTTTAGAAAGCTGAAATCATTAGAAAACAGTCAGTACAACTATTTACTCGAAAATGTAATCAAAAGTAAGTAATAAGGATCGAAAAATTACCTTAAAATTCAAACTTACCCTTTTCGTTAAAAAGACAACTGAAAATTACCTTAGCCTGACTCACTTACCGTTCCCAGTGGAGTCGCCAAGCTGTCGCAACCGTCTTTCGGTTGGGCCCCGGAATTGGGCTTCGACTTATAAAATGTGGATTGGAGTCGCCACCGATCATTTATTTAAAATAAATGGGTTGATCGGATACCCTATTTCTTACCTGATATGCGTCTTACCAAAGATGTATCGAATTCGGGAGTCGGTTACAGTCAAGGAAGGGTTAGCACCCTTGAACTGCCCTTTCGGTACTACGTAGTTTCCAGTTGTCTTAAATTAAGAAAATTGTAATTTTTAATTAAAAGGTAAAATTTGATCCTGAATTACTTACACTGATTGAGTGAAATACATCCTTGAAAGGTAGAGATTGTTAGAAAGGAAAAAAATGTGAAAAAAACTAATAAGATAAAGTAATTATAAGAAAACAAATAAGAACAAGATAAGATAAAGGCAATAAAAAAACAAATAAAAATAGGATGAATATAATAAAGGAAAAGAAACAATATATATATATAGTAAATAAAGTAAAATAATAAAATATATGTATAACGAGAAAAAAAAATATCAAAAAGGTACGATGATAATAATAAAAGAACAATAAATAAATAAAATATGTATGTTAATGATAATAAGTAATAATAACGATAAATAAGAATATATACATATATGAAAACGATAATAATAGTTATATGGATAAAATATATATATAATAAAAAGGAAAAAAAAAATAATATATATATATATATATAATAAAAACAATAATGATAAAAAGGATTGAATTGAACACGAAATAAATTCAAGGGTCAATTTATAAAGATTTCGTGTATAAAAATCGATTTAGGGGACTAAATTAAATGTTTTAAAACATGGAGGGCCAAAGCGCGAATCTCTCTTTTCTTGTAAAAAACACTCGGGTCTGAGACTCGGATCGGGTCGTAGCGCGGGTCGCTAGGCCGGGTATGGGCTTTGTATAAAAGCCAATTTGCTCTCTTAATTTCTCATTTTCCTTTCTTCTCATACGAGAGCCTCCTCAATTCTCTCATCTGTTCTTCACTCTTTGAAGAACACGGTGGGCCTCCCACCATCTCCAAAATCTGACAACCGTGTGCCGCCTCACCACCGCCGTTGATCGGCGGCGGCCGTCGTTCATCGGCGGCCAAACAAAAAAGTTTGTCTTTTTTAAAAGCTTTCGTCCTCCCGGTTTCAAAAATGTTTTTTGTTTTTGCAAAGTGGCCTCAGGGGAGGCTAGATCTGGATTTTAAAACCTCGACCTTCCCTTAAAAGTTCATCGGCCGAAATAATTTTTTTGGGTTGATTCGAGCCAAAATAAAAATGAAGAAAGAACACGCATGCAAGCCAAACGTTGCAAGGTATGGAATTTACCTCTTGCTGCTCTCTATCGAAATATAAATGCTTCGAAGAAAAGAAAACTACTGTTATTGGATGCAATTTGTTTGTAACTTTTGCTTGGTATTTCGTATCAATCCCCCCATGTCCTACAAAATGTTTCTGTTACATGTATTTATAGCCTAAAAAATGCTATTTCAATGATGGAGTCCTGATGAAACTGGTGCTCTTGTTTGCTGTTATTGTGAGGTCCTTGCGTCGGAGGTCTCTGGTTGTTGATGGCGAAACGTTCGGCCGTGTAACGTGGGGCTGTGGGACTCTCCTTGGCTGTTGTACGGCGCTGTGGAGCATAAGAGGCTAGGGTTTCTTATTGTACCTAGGCCACGGGCTGCTGACTTGTACTTGGGCCCTGTAGAAAAAAAATGAATGTAATATTATTATGTAATATAATTTATAATATATAATATAATAATATTAATTAATGGGATGAAATTAAGTGTCTTCAATATCCTTAGAAGAAGGAGATAGAGAAGCTTTCTAGACAGAGTGAATTGCCCTTTTCCATCATGTTCTCTTTTTATCAACAAGCTAATGTAGGGTTAGTGTAGATCCACATCTTTATGTCTTTCACAGTAAAATTTAAAATTTTTAGTTAATTATTTATTTTATTGATGATGTTATCTATTTAAAAATTTTATATCATTAATATATGTATATTCACACTAAAATAATATATCTAAATTCTATCATTTTATAGAAGGCTTGAACAAGGCTGGTGTAGGTGTAGGTGCAGGTGACTTATGACTGATGCCGTTGGAGGAGACTTTTCATGGATCTCTTAGTTTTGGTCTTATGTACTAAAATAAATAGTTTGTATAATAATAAATAAATTATTTTATTATACTTAAGGTTGAACTGTTTTAAAAAAATACTTATAAAATTGATATATATATATATATATATATTTTTTTTTCTTTGTATCTTTTATCTGTTCCGATCAAATGATGTACAGAATTGTGAAGCAAACAATACGATAAAAAGGCTATTCTGTCATATTTATGCTTGTAACGATGATGCATATTAGCGTGAAGGGTTTCCGTTTTTCAATCAGTCTCTCTCTTTTTTGGTGGTGCCTCGCTTTATACGGATGTACAATGTCGGTGATATTTTATCTGACCGAAACACCCATGAAAATTTTGTCGTTGACCCATATCTACCCGTGTTTGGATAACTTATTCCTTCAACCGTGATTTAATGTTAGATTCTTGTTTGAACCCTGTGATAAGTAAAACGGCACCAAAAAAAGTATGAAGCATCTCACTTTAATGTGAAGATTCTCTGTATTTGATAAATTATAGTTGAGGTAGAGCACAATGTTCTTAACTTTGAGGTCATGAGATCGAGTCCTACGGAGGGCATTTCATAATTCAGAGGTCTTCTACGGAAGCTACTCTCAATCTGATGTTGGGGGCAACCTACTATCTTACCTCCCCCCTTACTCCATTAAATATGGGAACAAGGGACAACCATATAGTTGAAGTTTTATTAATTTATTTCATTCATAATAAAAAAATTAATAGTATAATAATTAAAATTTGTAAGGATTGTTATTTTTAACTTGATAGGTTTAGTTAATGTTAGAGATGAACATGTGACCTATACTCGATTGGTTTTGACTCAATTGAGTTACTTCTTTTAAAGAAAATTAGGTTTGAGTTGGGTCTATTTTTAGATGATAAGTTCATATTTAGGGTATAAAATATCTGATTTGATCTGACTAAAAAATAATGTAATTATACCTTATATATTTAAGGATAATTGCAATAATACCATTCTGTTTTTAATTAGATCCATATTCTATTAAATAAAATTAAGAATTATATATATTTATATCAGATTGAGTCACATGCAGATTTTATCTAATGAATAGGTTAGATTTTAGGTAAAGTTGTATTTTTATCAGTTTGAGTTGACCGAATATCCGACCATTTATCATCCCTAGTTAATACACTTAAGTTTAAATTGGTGTGAAGAATTAACATTATTTAAACAACTAAAATATTATGAACAATAACTTTCTAATTGAAATAGTATGCTCGAGACAAGAATATCATATCAAGAATGACATCGATGAAATAAAAACAGATATATTAAAAGTAGTAATATATTCATTAATTGAAGGTTTAGAGTTTAAACTTTAGAGTTTAGGATTTGAGATTTAGGGAGTGAAATATAATTATTTTTTGAGAGAAGAAAAGAAAAAACACAGGTACCAGCAATGTGCTTTTCTTTTACTATTGAAGTTAATACTTAAAAAGAACGAAGCACGGTTGACAAAGGTTCATGTGTTGAGTTGTTGATTATTTATGTTTAAATTTCAATGCTTGCATCGTTTTCATAGTTATTTTGATTTGATTTTGGTTATTGTTTTATATGTGCTTCGATATAATTTTTTTTAATATTATAAAATGATTAATTTTAATTAAATATACTCAGTTCTATTTTAATTATAATTATATCTTTTATTTATATTTTCAAATTTTTAATTAATATATTATATATTTTTTACCAGCACGGAAATGAAATTCAAATTACACTTCGTACAAGTTAGAATTAATAATTTGCAACTTCTAAAGCTCTTGTTTTTAAAATATTATATAATTCATAATATATATTTTTGTAAAGAAAATGACCGAGGAAGATTGGTGAATTCCAATATCAAATAAAGGATCAAACGATGCGACTGTTTTGGGGGATTGAAGTAAAAGCTGGACCACTGCAAAATTAAAATAAAATAATAAAACAAAAAAATTCAATGGGGCAAATCAAAGTGCCGGGATACACTACCAAGCCAGAGGCAAACGGCTCAAGCCAAGCCATCAAGCCAATTCACTGGCGATAGTCGGTGAGTGACCGAAGTTTCCCGGTTATATCTATAGAAAAATCTAAAAACCAATAGCCAATCTTTCGCTCTCACCAACCCCACCGATCCTCACCAATTCAAATCGGATCTCAATTCCTAAAGAGAGAAGAAAAATCTAAACCGACTAAAGCAGTTACCGGTAACTTCCATTTTCTCTATAAATAGGCGCGATCGAGGCCTTAACTCGTCGTGCCGTTGAGTTCCGCCAATCTAGAGGTCTGGTCCGCTCAACATCCGCTCTCTTTATCTAAACCAAAGACTCAGATCCGCTCGGAATTCTTTGTCCAGGTTCCCTTTTTCTATCCTCTGTGTTCTTTCTTCTTTTATTTACTTTTGCTCTGTGGTTTTCGTTCGTAGATTTGGCTTTGTTGGCTGTAGCAGCAGCGGGGAATTAGTGTTCATTTAAGTGAATCTTGACTCAATTGTTTTCTGATCCGTTAAATCTGGAGTTTCTCGGTATTTTGGTTCTTGAAAATTATAGGAACTTGAGATTCTGAGGTTTGACTGGATTATTTATGGAAATTTTACTGAAAAAGTACAACATGTTTTAGTGTAAGACTTTTAGTTGATGACGTTTTAAACTTCCATAGAATTTGTTTTTTACGTGAAAAGTAGTTTTGCTTTGTGTAGGATCTACTGGATCTATATTTTTCTACCTTGCTTTGAGTACGATCAACTGGATCTATATTTTTTCGATTAACTGGATCTATATATTTTCATCGTCATAGTATCTTATATCATTATCGATCTTTCAAATTGAGTATAAAGATCTATAAATTTTGTTGTGGTTTTACCACTTGATTTAGTTTTGCGTCTGTCACTCAAAAGCAGCCAACAGGTACAACATTTGCCGTTTAAACATCCTTCTGCAAGTAAATAATTACGGAAGCTTTCTGTTAGTCAAACGAAAGTAGAAATCAGTGTCAATAGTTGAACATGGTAATTGTACTGAGTTTCCTCTGGTGTTCTTATGTTTGCAGCACGTTAGAATGGAGACTTTTCTATTCACATCTGAGTCTGTCAACGAGGGTCACCCCGACAAGCTGTGTGACCAGATCTCTGATGCTGTGCTGGATGCCTGCCTTGCCCAGGACCCTGACAGCAAGGTTGCCTGTGAAACATGCTCTAAGACTAACATGGTCATGGTCTTTGGAGAGATTACCACCAAAGCCGATGTAGACTATGAGAAGATTGTCCGTGATACTTGCCGCTCCATTGGATTTGTTTCTGATGATGTGGGTCTTGATGCTGACAACTGCAAGGTCCTAGTCAATATTGAGCAGCAGAGTCCTGATATAGCCCAGGGTGTCCATGGCCACTTCACGAAGCGCCCGGAAGACGTTGGAGCTGGTGACCAGGGCCATATGTTTGGTTATGCCACCGATGAAACCCCAGAATTCATGCCTCTTAGCCATGTCCTTGCAACTAAGCTTGGAGCACGTCTTACCGAGGTTAGGAAGAATGGTACCTGCGCCTGGCTAAGACCTGATGGTAAAACCCAGGTTACTGTTGAATACTACGACGATAATGGTGCTATGGTTCCAGTGCGTGTTCACACCGTCCTCATCTCCACCCAGCATGACGAGACTGTTACCAATGATGAAATTGCCGCTGACCTCAAAGAGCATGTTATCAAGCCCGTCATTCCTGAGAAGTATCTTGATGAGAAGACAATCTTCCACCTCAACCCATCTGGCCGCTTTGTCATTGGTGGTCCTCATGGTGATGCTGGTCTCACTGGTCGTAAGATCATTATCGACACTTATGGTGGTTGGGGAGCCCATGGCGGTGGTGCTTTCTCAGGAAAGGACCCAACCAAGGTGGACCGGAGTGGTGCTTACATTGTAAGGCAGGCTGCCAAGAGCATTGTAGCAAATGGCCTTGCTCGTAGGTGCCTTGTGCAGGTCTCCTACGCTATTGGTGTGCCCGAGCCTTTGTCTGTCTTTGTCAACAGCTACGGAACTGGAAAGATTCCAGACAAGGAAATCCTCCAAATAGTGAAGGAGAACTTTGATTTCAGGCCTGGTATGATCACCATCAACCTGGACCTCAAGAGAGGTGGCAATGGACGTTTCTTGAAGACGGCTGCCTATGGACATTTTGGAAGGGACGACCCGGACTTCACCTGGGAAATTGTGAAGCCCCTTAAATGGGAAAAGCCCCAATCTTGAACTCGAGCTTTGCCATGCCCCTGCTGCTCAGTACTTGCTCATCCATCCAAGGCACCGAATAATCTGTATTTTCGTAGCTCCTGCCGCATAAGCCCCTGGCATTCCTCGACATATCTAATCTCATACATATGATGCCCCTATTGATTGTCATTTTCTTTTCTGTTTGTTCTTTTTACCATGTTCGTTTTGATTAATGATGTGAGTGTCGGTGTTGCAAAAATGTATGAGAATTTTACTTATATTGATGGCACTAGAATTTTTGATTGATTGCTCATGGAATTCACAGCATTTGCAGTGAGTATTCAGTAATCTGTACTTTGTGATAAATCAAAAATATTGTTCTAAAGCTGCCACCATTTTTAACGTGCTAGCCGACAAGCAACAAGAATTAGACAATGGGCTTTTGATCGAATACCGCAATGCAAAGGTACTTCGGCCGTATCTAGGGCGGCCGAGCCCAAAAGTGAGAATATTTTCTAAAATTTATTATTAAAAAGAATATCTTCATAAATCAAATGGGACCTTGTTAGTTTAGCCTTCAGTACTCGTACCAATGCTATTCTATTTTATTTATGAATATTGTTGTCCTTTTTATTTATGTTTTAGTTGGGGTATTGAGTTTGTAGAATATTTAATTTTATTTATATGAATATAGAATTTGAATTTTAAATTATCTAATATAAAAAATTAAAATTATATTAAAAAATCAAAGATTTCAAAAAATTTGAAAAAACCAAAAACGAAAACTCTAATTTCAACTCCTAAACCCACCATGCCCACTACTCTTTGCCAGCACCTCACCTCCACCCGGTAACCAATAACCCCAAGAAAAACCACTGTAACAGGAGTCAACTGATGAGTGTACCCTGATGAGCCTCGATGCTACAAATTATAATCTCACGCGACCCCGAAGGTCGATCGACGATAAAGATGATGACGTCTGACTAGGAATATGACAAGAATGATGTCAGCAGTGGTGGCCGAGGATTTTTATGGATTTAGGGCTTTCTTGTAATTTAAGAAAAATTAAGATTTTTCAAAATATAATGATATTTTTATTTTTTAAAAAAATCAAAATTATTAAAACATGAAATGTGTCACTTAATGGAGTTTTTTTAAGCCATTACGTTCGTGACACCTAAAATGGTAACATTTGTAATGTTACACACCTAGACAAATAAAAAAAAAGTTTTAGCAACTATTTTAGAAAAAATGATATAGTTTGAACACTTGTTTTCTAATTAAGCCTTAAAAAGTAGTTAAGTAACTAAAACTCCATAAGAATAAGGAGTGTATTCGGTTCGGTTCGGTTTGGTTTTTTACCAAAAATTGAACCGAACCGAAATAAACGGTTTTTCAAAATTTAAACCGAAATCGATTTTTTCGGTTCGGTTCGGTTTATCGGTTTTTCAATGAAAAAATCACTTGAAACTATAATTTTTTTTTAAAAAAATTGTCTATTCGGTTCAATATGAAACAAATGAGTTCCATATGGAAAATCCGAACCGAACCGAATAAAAAGAATTGAGACTTTAAACCGAACCGAAAACGAATCGTATAATACCGAACCGAACCGAACCGTTTTACTTAGTTCGTGTCGATTTTTGATTTTCTTGATTTCGTTGCTCAGCTCTAAGAATAAGTAGATGATTAAATATATAACTCCCCATAATAAATCATATTGAGTGTGAATTTCAATCAATACCTTGATATCATGATTGTAATAAATATATTGAAAATTTGATTTTAATTATATTAAATTAAAGTATAAAAGGTTAAAAGTTAAAAAAAGGTAAACCATATAGCTGGTTACTAGTGTTTGGGTAGTTTTCATTTCCCCACTAATGTTTCAAAAGTTACAAATCGGTCACTAACGTTATTGTTTAGTTACAAATTTGTCACTCAACGTTAACAACTGTTAACATGCGTGACGAAAAATACAGTTGGTGCGTTAACTACTGACATGGATGGGTTGATTGCCACGTTAAAAAGGGTAAACTACACAAATGATCACTAATGTTTGAATAAGTTTCATTTTCCCCGCTGAAGTTTCAAAAGTAATAAATTGGTCACTAACGTTATCGATTTGTAACAAAACAGTCACTCGCCGTTAACCTTCGTTAACGTGGGTGATCGAAAACTTACGTGTAGGGGTGTAAATGAACCGAGCTTGAACGAACAAGACCATGTTCATGCTCGTTTGTTTATATTTGAAGGTGTTCATGTTCGGTTTGTGTTCGTTTAATTTTTCAATATCATGTTCGTGTTCATTTATTTATTTTCGAATGTGTTCATGTTCGTTTATTTAACGTTCACAAACGTGTTCGTGAACATGTTCGTTTATAGTTTGTTTATAGTTCGCAAACATGTTCATTTGGTATTCGTGAACATGCTCGTTTATATATGTTAAAAAATGTTACTAAATAAATAGAAAAGAATAAATTAAACAGAATCACCTAACAAAACTTATATACCAATCCACAATAACAAAATACAACCTTAAAACATACTAGAAACATCCATGAACATTTCTATCTTAAAACATACTTGAAAATAAAATGGAACAATCAAATCATACGAGTAGAAGCTTAGCAAAACGTCATCCGTCACATATCGAACAACACAGTCAAAACAACAAAATAAAATGGCAGTCACAACCAAAATATCCATCCTAAAACGTTATTCAATTCACCTGCAGAACCTAAGAAATAAAAACAAACATCAAGAATGGTCAAACGAAATTAGCAGCAACATAGACAATTATAAACATAAACATTTATAAACATAAACATTTATAAACATAAACATTTAAAGTTAGAGAATAAAAAATTAGCAGTAACATAAACATAAAGAATAGTAAAACGAAAATAGCAGTAACATAAACATTTAAAGTTAGAGCACATAAGAGAGTTATAAACAATTATTAAACAATTATAAACAATCATAACATGAGTTAGTATAATGGACACACATAAGACTCTTATGATTTTTTTGAAAATGAGATTCCCAAAATATTTTATAATAAAGTGTAATTGTAAATTATCTTATGAGCAAAATCGTGACATTATTTTTTAAATTTCGGGACTCTATGATGTATCACATGTCATAGTTGTAGATGGACAATCTAATTATAGCAAATTTAAACATACTTATGAGTTAATACTATATTATTATTATTAGGATGAATATTTGATGCACTTATTGTATATAGTTTTATATATTAGTAATAAATTATTGGACGACACACATCAAAAATGAATTTAAATTATGTATCTTCAATGTGTCAAATATAATTTCTATTATTGTGATAGTAAAATGTTAATAAGTGTGTAATTATATGAAGGGATAGTAAAATGTAATAATTCGAAACTTTATATTTAATTATATATATATATATATAGTAATATTTAAAAAATGTCTTAAGCAATTAGTTAAAAACCTATAAAAAATATGTGGTCAAAGAAAATTAATGGATATGCGATGATCAGACTTCCAAGTAAGTTAGAACATTAAATTAGTGTACTAATTGCTTAATATTTCCAATGCAACAGGGGAAATGATGGTTGGTCCGACCAAAGCCTTCTTTATGGATGAAATATTAACAGGCTTAGATAGCTTCACTACCTTCCAAATTGTCACACGTCTACAACAGTTGGCTCATACAACAGGAGCCACAATTTTAATTTCACTTCGTCAACCAGCTCTGGAGACCTTTAATCTCTTTTGACGACGTTATTCTAATGGACAGAAGAAATACTGTATACCAAGGACCTAGGAATCAAGTTCATAATTTCTTTGAATACTGTGGCTTTAAGTGCCCTCCAATGAAAGGCTTTGCAGTCTTCCTGCAAGAGGTACTGTCCGAAAAAGATCAAGTACAGTACTGGTTTTGTAGGGACCGACCTTATAGTTATGTTTCTGTCGACAAATTCAAAGTTGCATGTAAAGAGTTTCATGCAGGACAAGGGCTAAACGAAGAACTCTGCAAATCTTTTGACGAAGCCGAGAATCAGAAGAACGGTTGTCGTTTAATATATATTCATTGGGAAAATGGGAATCATTCAAAGCATGCTTGGCTAGGGAACGGTCTCTTACCAAGCGTAGTTCATTTTTGTATGTGTTCAGATCAGCACAGGTAATGATTTAATATATGAATCAATACTGAGATGGTGAGTTACTAATCAACATACTCTCACAAGCTTTGGGTGTTTTTTTTTTTGCTTGCAGCTTGTTTTATTGGCATTGTTTATATGAACTCGGATGAAGATCAATGAGTTCCATTCGAGAAAGTACATGGCTTGCTTATTTTTTGGTCTCACCAGAGTTCTGACCAGTGGAGTTCCAGAATTGGCACTTACTAGTTCCAGGCTTGGCATATTCTACAAGCAAAGGGATTTATATTTCCATCCTGCATGGGCTTATTCAATTTCTTCAACTATTGTAAGGATTCCGTTTTCATTTTTGGATACTTTGCTATGGACATCTCTTATATATTTTGGGGTTGGTTACAGTCCAGAACCAGAAAGGTTAGCATTTTTAAGGACAATATCCTACTATTATGTTAGATATATAAAATTTCAACATGTTCTCTAATGAGTCCTGAGCGTAACTTTCAGGTTCTTCTACCAGCTTTTCATTCAGTTCCTTTTCCATCAAGTAGCAATCTCGATCTTCCGTTTGATTACGGCTGTAATTCGAACACTACCCATCGCTGCAATCTTTTGTCAATTTACAGTGATGGCAACACTATTATTCAGTGGCTTCATGGTACCTTTACGTACGGCCAACATTATTATAATCAGCATGAGTACTTCAATTTGTTCAAAGTATTCATGTAACAATAATAACTCAACTGTTATATCAAAGCAGCATCGATGCCTTCTTGGATAAAATGGTGCTTTTGGATTTTCCCTCTATCCTATACAAATATAGGAAATTCAATAAATGAATTTCTATCTCAAAGGTGGCAACAGATGAAAAAAAGAAATCACACACCTTTATTTATGAAATAAATTAGCAGTTATTTGATGGTCGTGTTGTGGCCTTTCAGGTTTCATCCTTAAATGTGACTCTGGGACATCAGGCTTTACAGAGAAATGGATTAAACTTCGATGAATACTTCTACTGGATATCCATTGCAGCTTTGATAGGAATATGGATTCTGGTTAATGTTTTATTCACCTTGGCACTTATTTGAAGTGTAAGTTTCACATTATAGAAAAACTTTGATTGATGAATTTAATCATTTCTGGTTCTA